GAAAGCGAGGTCGACCCCCTACTGCTGGGGATTGTGTCGGCCTCGCTGACGCTAAGCGAAAGCCTAGCGAGATGGAGCAGCGCCTGGCGATGGACGTCGCGGACCATTTAGTGTCCTCCGTTCGGATCCCCTGGTCCTGCAAGCCCCTTAAGGGCGAAGAGGAGCTGGCGGCGGAGATGCGCCACGCGCCGACCGCCGAACTGGGCTTTTGGATTTTCGAGAGCTCGAAGGCGGTCCTGAGGATTGCGAAATGCTCCAAAAACCTTCAGGGGCCGATGGTGCGCCAGCTGCGGATTGCAGCGGCCACCATCAGACACGCTGCCGTCGAACAGGCGAAGCGTGTCAAGACCTCGGCCCAGGAGGTGGAGCTGGAGCGGACGGTCGCCGAGTTCAGGGCCCGCGTAACCGAGCTGAAAGCCCGGCTTGCGCGGAGCCCGATCGCGCCTGCCGCGGTGCCGTCGGTGCCGCCGCTCGTTGATCAGGCGGTATCGGTGCCGGTGCCCCCATCGTGGCCGAGTGCGTCCTCGACGGCGAGGTCGAGTCGGTCTACTGCTTCGAGGCCTGCGCCCGCCGGTCCGTCACGGAAGCCTGCGATGGACGGCGCGACCCTCGCGCCGGGCGTGGACGTCGAGGGCTTCATCCGTCGCCTCTACGGCGAGATGGTGGTGCGCCTCGCGGCGCGCCTGGTGGCGGTGTCGCTGGTGACCGCCGCGAGCGGGGCTCCGCAGCGGGTGCCGCGGGCCGCGCCGCGCCCTCCTGCGGGTCCCTCCCAACCTGGCCCCTCGACGGTAGGGAGCCGCCCCGGGACAGTCAGCGGGGAGCCCGCGAAAAGGAAGAGAGGCAGAAAGAGGAGCGGGAAGAAGCAAGCGGGTGGCGCCGCTGCCCATCCTGCTCCGGCCTTGTCGGGCCGAGACTGGCCCTGTGCCGCGCCTGCCCCGGCACCTGAAACATAGTCGAAGGTGCTCAGACGCAAGGAGAGGCGTGCGGAGACGGCACGCTCTCGCACTCGCGGGGCGTGGCCGGCTGGAGCTCTAGCTGCAAAGAGGGCCGAAGAGGACGGCGGTATCCCTCACAGTCGCCCCGGGCAGCGCCATGACCTATTCAGAAGTCATGGCAAAGGCGGTCGATGGCGTGCGGTTACGGGATGTCGGGGTAACCGGCATCCGGTACCGCAAGGGGCAGATCGCGTCCTCCATTTTGGAGATCCCGGGCCCGGACAGCGCTGCCGGGCGGACCGCCTGGCCGGTCGCCTGGCGGAGCTGTTCGCCGGCACGGACCTGAGGCCAGGCCGATTAAATCCGCCGAGGCACGGGTTAGCGCCCTGGACGAATCCGTCACGGCCGACGGCGTGGCGGCGGCAGTTGCCGCGGTAACCGGGTGCCCGGTGGACGAGTTCCAAACCGGCATCATCCGGCGTTCCGGGTCCGGGCTGGGCACCGTCTGGCTCCGCTGCCCGGCGGCTGCCATAAGGGCCCTCCTAGCGGCTGGCCGCCTGCTCGTCCGCCTGAGTGGAGGCCAGTAACTGGTTCGCCGGCCTGGGGTTTACCGAGGGGGAGCTCGGGATGTCCGTCGGGCGAATGGTGGGCAGGAATACGGCACCAGGGCCCGACGACATCCCTAAGCGGGCGCTAGCTTTGGCGCTGCGCGTCCTGGGTCCCCGGCTCAGGCGGCTGTTCGACGGCTGCCCAGAGTCGGGGCGGGTTCCGCTGGCCTGGAAGCAGGCCCAGATGGTCCGTATCCCGAAAAAGGGAAAGCCCGCGGATTCGCCCTCCGCGTATCGGCCGATCTGCCTCCTCGACGAAGCGGGCAAGCTCTTCGAGCGTGTGCTTGCTGCCCGCCTGTCGAGGGGCCTGTCCGACGGGAGTATGCAGTTGACTGGCTGCCAATACGGTTTTCGCGAGGGCCGGTCGACGCTTGATGCGATCGACCACGTTCATGCCCTCGCGGACCTGGCGGTCTCCCGGGGTGGGGTGGCGTTGGCGATGTCGAGACATCGCCAACGCATTTAACAACCTGCCCTGGGGCACGATCCGGGAGGCTCTCCGAGAACACGGAGTGCCTTCATATCTACGAGTCGTGTTAGCCGACTACCTGTCGGACAGGTGGATCGAGTACCCTGGCAGAGGCGGGGTGCCGATACGTCGGAGGGTCAGGCGAGACGTGCCCCAGGGGTCCGTTTTAGGACCCCTGTTATGGAACTTGGGGTACAACTCGGTGTTGCGCGGGTTCCTCCCACCCGGTGTCTTTGTGGTCTGCTACGCAGACGACACATTGATCATCGCGGTGGGTCGGGATGGGACCAGGGTCCACAGGCTGGCGGAACTAGCGGCCGCGATCGTGGTCGCGAGGATCCAGGCTCTGGGGCTTCGGATCTCGCCGCAAAAGACGGAGGTAGTCATGTTTCATGGGCTACCTCTGACGCGGTGGGTACCCCAGACCTGGATCCGCGTGGGTGATGCGGCTGTCCGGGTCGAGGGCCAGATGAAGTATCTGGCTCTCGACCTGGACGGCCGGTGGCGCTGAGAGGGGCATTTCGACCGTCTGGTCCTCCGAATTGAGGCGGTGACGACCCTGTTAGGGGTCGTGCGATCCATGGCCCTATACGGGTCACCCGTATGGGCGTGCGACCTGGTGGCCTGCCATCGTGGACGGCACCTGCTCTGCTGCGTTCAGCAGCATATGGCCATCAGGATCGCGCGCGGGAATCGCACGATCTCCTACGAGGCGGCGGCCGTCCTAGCGAGGGTCGTCCCCTTTGATTTCCAGGCGGAGGCACACGCCGACGTGTAGCTGGACTCCGCGCAGCACTTGCTGGAGGAGTGCCCGGCCTTCTCGCGACAGGGGACCTCTCGCTCCCGGCAGTCGTTTCGGCCATGGCCGAGAGCGAGAGGTCCTGGAACACGGTGTCCTCCTTTTGCGAGACTACTGTCTCGCGGAAAGAGGATGACGAGCGAGATCGGGAGCGCACCGATCCCGCTCGCATAGAGAGGAGGAGGTTGAGGCGGGCCAGGCGACGGCGGCTAGCTGCCGCCCCTGCCGCAGGGGGGACTGGTCCCCCCCCTCCCCGTAAACCCTCACCTCCTTCTGGCAGTCTGCGGCGTAGGGCGGCCCTGCACACGTACCGGGGAGCTCAAGCTTTGGGCTCGCCGACTGCCAGCAGGGCCGTTGGGCATGGGCGCGGGGGTCGTCACCCGACGCCCCCCCCCCCCACTTCTTTGGAACATGCCCAGCGCTTGCGCCGCGGGAGGCCGTTGGCTCCATAGCGGCATATTTCCTTGTGGGTCGGGGAACAGAATACGCCCACAGTAATCCCTGCTTGTCGTAAGAGGCGACTAAAAAGGACAGGCGAGACTGCGGGCTGTGGCACCCACGGTCAGGTGGGGAGGTATTCACTCCCCACCGAAGATGGCACTCCTCCCTTCGTTTGGGGGGGAGAGGCGCGGGGGGGGAGGCACCGTTAGCGTTCGTAAGAGATCCCGGTGCCCCTCCCCAATGCGCCGTGGCCGGCCACCGTGAGGTTTTAGTGGGTATTCCCCTTGATATCAAATCGAAGGGCGAATCCCACACTACCCCCTCCTTATGAGGGGGCGTGCGTAAACGAATTCCTCACGTAAAAAAAAAAAGAACTGGTTAGGATTGCTTATTCCTATGGTGAAGGTTTAATAACGATTTAACAGACCTTTTAAAGTTAACAAATGATTATATATTCAAAACTGAATAATTCTAATAATACAATTGTACAGTGTCGTGTTGTCGCGGTTAGTGTATGAATTTAGTTACCTAATCGACGTGATCGACGTGACTTTACTAAGTAACTCTTTTGTACTAATCCCCCGAGTAACGAAAATCATGGGTTTATATACCCCTAGATATTGGTGGGGTATTACTCATAAAGTGATTACATTTTTTCTTTAATAAATTTCTTGCAATGCGTTCCGCATACTTTTGAAACCTTAAAGGATTCAAACTGATCTTCCATTTTCTATTATTCTAAGTCATTCACTATAGAAATTATCTTTATAAAAAGAAATGAGACCCCCATAAGAAACTTCAAAAAAGTGAAAAAATTACACCAAGTACATAAAAAAGTGGAGGACTTAAAGAGTAATCATAAAAAAATATAAGATCCCAGCAAAGTGCAAAGGCGACACTGTATAACGCAATGAAAAATTCGGTGCTTTCCAACTATGCGCAGCTAAAATGCTGTGTTCAACAGTGCAGACGTTCAGACCCTAATGACAACTCATGTAAACTGACTGCTCCGCACTTTGACAGCGAAATGAAGAAGCTAAATAGTGTTGTTACACCCGGCCCTGCCGGTGTCCCTTTTCATCGACCTCGCATTGCAAATAGTTAAGATCAGATACTTTTAGGAATGCGCTTGACATACGATTCGGAAACCGTTTCTCGGGAACCGAATCGTGCGATCTGCGAATCAGCGAAATAGGCGTCAGCGCTCAACGCCAGCACATCCGCTGAACTTGAATTCTCGTTGCGGCTCGTGCCATGCGCGGATCAGCTAATACATAAACCCGTGGACACGCCCCACGGTGCTCTCTTTTTTATTCCGCTGTCAGTACGTTCTCATCGTGGTGATTACCGAAATCTTGTAGTCGCGGACAAGTTAACTTCACGCGTTGTCGTTACCTACGAAAGTCCGACGTATAATCGGTTAAGATCACATCGAACCTTTATCCTTAATCGAACACGCACTCAGCGTCGCGCTTTGGTCGTCAAATACTAAATTATTGTAGTCACGGATAGAGTAATCGTACGCACGCCGCGTCGTTACCGAGGAAAGTACGTTGTTAATTAATAGAGACCCGTGTCGCAAGCGATAGTTGTCGACAAACAGATCCTTGCAACAGCACAGCCCTGGGACCACACAGATAACTGGTACAACCAAACTGTAAGACCGACAAGCGGTAACGTACCTACGTAATTGTATACCTGATTTTCCAAAACCGATATTGTAATATAAACTCGTTATTTTGTAACAATACATATTTATATGCTGAACCTTGAAAACAATCATTGCAATCCCGAATTGCTCTTTCCCGTTAGCGAATACAGTTAAGGTGAGCTTTAGCTCTTTAATTGAAGACGAAGATCCCAAGAAAGAGTCACAGATAAGCTGTGGGACATAACAAAATTGGTGTCGGAAGTGGGATACGTCTTCCTTGCTAACGAAGCGAGTTTTCCTTAGCACGAAACTTATCTGTATTCAGTTTCTAAATTTAGGAAATTTAAACAAGTTTTAGATTACATTATCATAAATAATTATCGTCACAATGACAACTCCAGAGATAAGACCACCTCCCCTACCCACTTCAACCCCGCCGATAGGACAGTCCGATGCAGGACGGTCAAGGGAATTTGAAATGACCGCGAGTGAGATTTATATACAACGCGAGGACGAAAATAGAGTATGTCGCGCAATTAACGCAGTTTCATATTTTGAACCGGGAGTTACGTCGTTAGAAAAATTTTTTCTCCACCAAGGCAAGGAAGGAGTGCGTCGCGAAACTAAACACCACCAAGACGTACGCAACACTATGATGAATAGCAACAAGATAGGGCACCGCGCCAATAACACAGAGAAAATCGGAGTCAGACGAAACATTTAAACTCCTACGGCGCCCGCTCACGCAACGACAACAGAGCGGGCGCAGACCGCGCGACCTCCTCAAATTCGAGGACGGTAACCTTCAAGAACGAGACCCCGAGGACTCCCTCCAAAAGGCACCCGTCCCGCGAATTCGCGTCAAAGCGAAGGAGTTGGGTGCAGGAGAAGGCGAATTCGTAATTGATACGGAAGCCGTATTAAGCATAGTAGAATTAGACGCAGTTCACCCTGACGCACCCGTCGTTAATCGCGACCGGTTCGAAATAGAAGGATTAAAGGGAAAAATTCATACTGAGGGCGCCACTTGTATGAAAATTAACGGTAGCTGGGCGCTATTTTATGTTGTTAAAAATTCAAATTTACCTCCAGGAATATCAGGCCTGATAGGTAGTTCGTATCTCCTACAAGAACAGGCCTCTGTATCGTATTTTCATCGCTCGTTAGTAACAACTAGTCGCCCGATACACCCGATACGATTCTCTAATTCAGCCGCAATGAACGATGCTCTTCGATCGTGCGAAAGGGGACGAGAAACCTTGCAGGCTTTCCTCGCCGAACATCCAGAATTAGAAAACGAGTCTCAGGAAAATTTGGAACAAGCACCTCCATCACGTCCTCTTACACCACTCTCCGAAGAATAGCTCGCTGAACACGAAGCATATGATTTGGGAGAATATGAAATTAGCTACCCTTCTCATGACGAACGATTAGATAATATCATGGACAAATTGAAATGAGATCATTTAGACAACGCAGCACGTAAATTGGTTAGAAAGACAGTAGAGAAATACGCGGACAGATTCTTTGTTCCCGATTGGAAAAAACTGAAACCGCAACACATTCGATTTCCACAACCAACGCTGCTCCTGTATTCACGCGACAATACTCGTTCACACCGTTTCAAGAGGAAGAAATTAAAAAAACAAATTAGCAATCTTGAAAATTTAGGAATAATCGTTCCATCAAAATCTCCTTATAAATCCCGAGAAAATCAGAGCAGTATCGGGATTTCCAATTCCAAAAAATAGAAAGGGCCTTAAACAATTTTTAGGACTGGTAAATTACTATAGACGCTTCATTCCTGATATGGCAAAACGCGCAAAACCACTTACGAATTTAACCAGCATTAAGACCTCTTTCACTTGGATAGAAAGCCATCAGGCAAGCTTCGAAGACCTAAGACAAGCCATGAATCATGAATGAATCAATGAACCATTTATAATAACGACAGACGCTTCCGATATAGCGGTCGGTGCAGTTCTAAGCCAAGGAAAAATCGGATAAGATCCGCCAATCGCATACGCATCACAAGTAATCACGTGGGCCGAACAAAATTACTCTACCACGGAAAAAGAATGTCTAGCTGTTATTTATGCAGTAAAACATTTTAGGACGTACATTTATGGACGGAAATTTTTCCTCGTTACCGATCACCGTCCATTACAATGGCTATTTTCGATTAAAGACCCAACATCGCGGCTCGCACGCTGGAGAATATTACTCGCTGACTACGATTATGAAATAGTTTACAAACCAGGCCGAGTAAACGCAAACGCAGACGCTTTATCGCGAAACCCCGTACCACACGCTTTTCCAATTTCTCGGATGTCACGGATCCCGAGACAAATCAAGAAGGAATCGGACAACGGGTTAAAATGCGGCGGGAAGAACAACCGAGACCTAATTATGTAGAACCATTAACTGTTATTGTAGAAGAAACATTCAACGATAACGGTCCTCCTTCGGCGATAACACAAACGGAAAACGACCTAGAAATTGTCGAACCACAAGCAAATTCAACGTTAATGGGTATAAACGCAACGCGGCTAGAGGAATTCGGAAACGAGAGCGACGAAGACGAAAGAACTCAAACCTGCGATCCCATTTGGCTTAGTCCGGACTTCTCTAAGGAAGAGATAGATTTCTTGAACAATATCGATGAGAAAACGGAGCCAGAAAATCTAGAAAGCCAGGGCGAAAGCATGAGGTCAGGCAGGGATAATGCACAGAAACTAGTTACAGCACCGAAACGCGTATCTTGGTTGTTGCCTCCACCTGAGGAAGCATTGAAAGTCCCCCAATCAACGATGATCATGCCAAATACTAGCGCACTCATGGATGAAAAGAATTCCAAGTCTGATACAATGTAAACACATCAGGAATCGTCTTCAGCAGAGTTAATGTCCGAATTCGACAAATTTATGGATAAAATGAAATCACTAGCTACATCAGAAACTTTTGGCTATTCAAGCCATGGCCACCCTCCGAAACAAGGACCAAGACCACGACCACAAGCAAAATGCGAAGTAACCATTTCGGAATCAACCCTTACATCTATTTCAGATAATTATGTCCATTTTATACCAGTCGATTGTATATTAACCAGTCAAATAAGTAAAACTTTCAAAGCACTCGGGTTACTTCAGGAAGCGAGCCTATTAACGAAAGATCTAATAGAAGGATAAGTAATAATTGTTCCTCACGAACAATGGAAAATCCTTAACGTCATCGGAACAAAAAGCTTCTTCCACGAGATAAACGAATCAAAATTAGAACGCTTGCTAACCGTTCTCCGAACTACGATAGAGAAAGAGCGCATTACCTCGTTCCGAATAGCAGCGCACGGCGAAACCTTACACCGTTTCAACGCAAATATCCTTAAATTACATTTAGAAGAAATATTCTGGAATATACCAATAAAAATTACAGTATGCACAGGGAAAATTAAAGTGCCCGGGGAAGATCAACGCGAGGATATCATCCGATATTATCACGAAAGTTTAATAGGGGGACATAAAGGAGTAACAAAAACCTATCAGCGAATACGAAGTCACTTCAATTGGCCGCAAATGCGTCGGGACATTGAAAACTTCGTACGAAACTGTCGCAGTTGTCAAGAACAAAAGTTCGTCCGAATAAAAACTCGTGAACCAATGCTTATAACGGATACACCAGCCAAACCGTTCGACAAAGTGGCTCTCGACACTGTTGGTCCTATCCCTATGACCCCTAGTGGAAATCGGCATATCGCAATTTTCGGAGCACCGCGCGCTATTCTGACCGACCGCGGAAAAAGTTTTATCAATAATTTAATGCAAGGCATAGCTCGCGTATTTAGAATAAACCACGTTACAACATCTGGTTACCGTCCCCAGACTAACGGCTCACTAGAAAGGAGCCATATCGTTCTTACCGAATATTTAAAACACTATTTGGAAAGATACGAAGACTGGGATTTGCTATTGCCCTTTGCGACCTACTCGTACAACACTTCGGTACACGAAGCGACGAACTTTACCCCGTACGAAGTAGTATTCGGTCAGTTAGCCAGGGACCCATTTACGCCGTTGTCTCGTAACGAAATTCTAACTTACCCATCATATGTACAAAATTTGGTACAGCGATTAGACGAAATTCGCTCAATAACACGGAAAAATATAGATGACAGCAAATTACGTTCCAAATTATACTACGACCGTAGTAGTAACAAAATTAATTTCAAACCAAATGATCTCGTCTATGTGTTAAAAGAACCGCGAGTAGAAAAATTCGATTCACACTATGAAGGACCATTTAAAATTTGCGATATCACGGATCAAAATAATGCTATTCTAATGAAGCAAAATGGTCAAAAATTCATAAAACACTTCGATAAGCTAAAACATGCACATTCCAAGGAAAAACCGCCTTGAAGGTATTTGGTATCGGTCAACAATAGCCGATACGGTAATAGAAAGCTTAATAAGTAAAAACTTTAACCTTGCCAACTTAAGCAACAGATCTAAAAATAAATAATAAAATTTATTATCTAATTCTAAAAATGCGTAACTCTTGACCACACTGTATTAATACAACGCTCGAGTTCTTCACATTTCCAATGTCGGACGCGCATGCCGCCACGTCGTCAGCACAAATACCAAATGTTTAGTACAGTAAATTCCCGAGACACCTGACCGCTGATTTCCGACCTCATACGGGAATCCGCTCACCCCTTCCCATGTCGCGAAACATTACCGAAAACGAAAATTTTTTAATTTATTTATTAACAGCGCATAATGGAGAATTTGTCAATCACGGGAATGCTCTGCTGCATCCTATGGATGTTTAGCACAGCCAACGAGATCGAAGGGGATTATGAAATTACACCTGTCAAAAGTAACCCAGGCTTGTTCTATGAAGAAGAATTACCCATTAGGATTTTCCACGCAAAATGGAAAATAGTAACAGCCATAGGTGTTCAAGATATTCTCGACGCAAAGCCACTTATTCTACCACAAATGGAAAGGATCAAAACACTTTGTGACAATTACAGCTGGACACACTGTCCTGCGGATACAATTAGAATCGATTTAATACGAAAATTATCAGATGCATAGCAGTACGAACAACTTTTACGTAACAGTCTAACAAACCCAATGGCCACAAAATCACGAAGATCAGCACCTTTGGGATTTATCGGTACAATTAGTAACGCCCTTTTTGGAACACTTACAGAGGACGACGCAAAA